ATTTCTTATATGGAACATTATTTACCCTTATCACAGAATGTGTTGGGCTGGAAGGGACCTTAAAGGTCATCTAGTCTATCATCCCTCTCACCCCCCTTCTGAGTTCAAGAGGAAACATGCCATTTGAATACTGTAATTTTACAATTGGGATTTTCTCCTTCCATCCTCAAACATTTTTTAATCTCAAAGGGAGAGAAATGGGCTTCTGCATCTTTGTTTCATATTTTTAGGTTCTGACTTACAGTGTTTTAATTATTTGTGTCACCTCCCCTCTCATATCCAAAACAAAGATAGGAAAAAAGTTACCATTTCTTTCCATGAAAAATTCAGATCTCATCTACTCTGTAAGGCTCTGTGGGGAATCATTGCTTGCCTGTACTTTAGGAGGGAGCTGACCTCTTGCTGTTTATGCAGAGCCTAGAACAAATGGAGTTGAATTTCAGATGGGGCCACTAAACTCTACCACAGTGCTAGCAGTTATTACAGAGGAGACTTTCAGAGGCACTAAGGCCTGATGGGTCAGCTCTCCTGGCAGGTTAATGAAATTGGTCGAACTTTCATGCTGTGAAATAGGGGTATCATGAGGCTGGAAGGTGATTGAACTGAAAGGTCTCTCAAACTTTTAGTTTAATGCAGTGTTATTTGTGGGGAAACAAGTCTGCTAAAGAGCTGTCATTCCACCCACTTCCCTTCAGGTGATGTGGAAATGCCAATGCTGTTTATATTCTCTGAGTTGCTGGGAAAGACCTCCAGAGAATCTAGTTTCTGAAATTGCAAGCAATAACAGAAAGCAAACAGAAAATAACAAGAGGAGATTGATAAGGGCAGTTTGGCTTTGAGAGGGGTACAATGACTGTTTCTGGGATAGAATTATGCAGCTGGCATTTTCATTGCATGTGAGCAGATGTGAATATGTCACCAAATTTTAAAAGAGTGTCTGTTTTGTTCAGTTATGTGTTTCTGGTCACGCTGCAGAAACCTGAGTCCCTCCTCTACAACCTGAGGCAGGGGTCTCTCGTAGCATTCCTTACATCAATATACCCCTCAGTGAAGACCGCAGGCTTGATGCCTTGGACTGGTTGGGGGCAGGTGTCATAGACCGTGTGTTTTTAAGTCTGTTGGTGAATGTCACACACGGAAAATACATTTTTTTTGTTGCTTGGTTCCCCACTTTCTAGTCAGGTCACTCTTCCTCTAGATGCTGTATTTATCATTAAGTAGATTTGGAACAGGGCGGACTTACCCGAACTGGAACTTCCTCCCAATCAGTCCAGTTTCCAGGAAGAGCAATATAGGTAAAGCTTCTCTAAACACCTGCTTTTGTCATGTCTTTCTGAGACATATGCATGATACTTCTTTTACTCTCAAAAAGATAAGTCAATATTAAAAATCTTATTTATGAACACTTTGTGTTACATTCCTTGGATGCTGGTGGGGTACATCTGAATCCTATTGAGTTAATCTGGAATGCTAAATGCTCAGCAGATTAAAGTTTCCATGTTTGTATGTGCTTAATGAATGTCTGTCTTTTCCAGTCCTTCCAACTTGCCTTTTAGCTGCATCTGCTTGACATACTGAATTCCAGTGAGCTATATTACTGAAGAAGCCCCGACATTCCTAAACCACATCGTGAAAAAACAGCAGTAGAGATTTTTTAAAATCAGTTTAAATCTTGTGGGATTTCTTACCACTCTTCTCCACACCCCAGTGCTTTCAGTATTAATATGTTTTTTAAGAGTCTTTTCTACTGTTTTTAACAGTGTTTACTCTGGATTTCTAACTACTAAAAAACAGCCTTGCAGAATTCTGGGCTTGCCATATGCTGGAGACATCCAGCTTTGTGACAAGAGTTGTGTACTGTAAGCAAGTTACAATGCAATGCTACATTTGCTAAAAATCACAGCAGGAGTGTTATGCATGGTTTGTGACAGTTGTACTATTTATTCAAATAAATAAATAATGATCACTTAGTTTTGTACATCTCTCTTCTTTTTTTTTTCCTAAATGGGCAAGAATGTGGGAAGAACTTATGGAAGATGAGCGCCTGCTGTCTTCATCAAGGATCTTAGATACATGATGATCTGTGCAGACTTAGCAACTCAAGTTTCTGGTCCTGGTACAGGTGATGAGATTGTATGGGCAGACACAAATAAGTGGTTTCATCAGCCACTTGTGGTTTTCTTAATTTATTTTTTTATGTTGCTCAGCTACTGGACCTGATCAAATTGTAAAGTAAAAAGGTAACTTCCACAAGAGAAAAGTAACTGAATTACACTCTCTGATACTGTTAGAAGACTTGGGGCCCAGTTCTGCAGCAGCAGCAGCACAGGAAGGAAGCCTGGCATGTTGAAGCCAGTCCTGTATGTGTCTATGGAGCACTTGGGAAGCCAGCAATCTGGAGTGACACTGAAAATGCCTGTGTGCTTTCCTTTGCTCTGGTATGGAGAGAGCATAGAGTGTCTCTCCAACAGAGCAAGGTTGTGTGGAAAAGTGGGAAAATGCATTATCAGAACTTGTTATTGGTGGGAGTGCTATTGATTCCTTGAATTGTTCTTCAGTGGCTACTTTTGTGTGAGGGCCAGGTGTGTAGGGTTGGGGGGTGTGTGTGTATGTGTGTGTGCATGAGGAGTGCTCATGTATGGAAATGTATGGAAAGCCTCTGAGTGCTGCCCTACAGAAGACTGGTTACTTCATGCAGTGATGGCAACATCAGTTTTTGGAGGAAAAAAGATGCTTCTCCATCACGTGTATTTCAGACTTCTCTTTTAGCACAGAAGCGCTGTATTGTAATGAGGCTTTTGAGAAAGAAATCCTTTGAGTTGCCAGTTGAAGTAGGGAGAGACCTGGTAATTACAGATGGCTTTCCCAGTGTTTAATTCTTTCTGCTCCCTCTGCCTGCTGATACAAAACTGGATTTGTATGAAGTTCCCAATATCAACTCCAACTATGTCTTCCTTTTGTTTGTTACTTACTACATTTCAAGGCTGAACTGAACTGAACTGAACTGAACTGTGGCATGCGCTTCTGCATAGGTAAGAAGATATGCTAGGTCTTTACTAATTTGCTGTATTGTTGTGCTTTTTACCTGCTTAAAAAATAGAGGTAAGTTTGCCCTTTGATTAAGGATTTTTTGGGTTAAGTTCTCAACTACTAAGAATTCATGACAACTGGAAATCTGTTTTCAACCTCCTTTGCTTTAGCCTCTTTATCACATGCTATTGGAGCTATTGGTTCTTATATGTGGCAACAATGCAGGAGATGGTCCCTTAACAGCATTCAACCAGACCAGCTTAATTAGCATGGCTGTCTGATGTCTCATTCGGGGATTTTGTGGAGGAAGGCAGAGTTGCTTTTGCTTTCTGGGGGTGTTAGTGAATATAACTGGTACCTGAAGGA